AATGACGCAGTGGATTGCAGGAGTTCATTAAAGCAGACACCAGAGGGGAGGCTTTTAAGTTTAAAACAAGAAACAGTGAAGAGAACAGACTAAGGAGTAGGACTGAACTGGGTGGCCAGAGAGGTCTTTTCTGTCTGTGCTTGTGCCTGTCTTCTATCACAATTTTATAGCATCCTAGAAAAAATGAACGTGAAGTGAATTGAAGACCACAGTGTTCTAACTGTGCATGGACCGTCAGGGAATCACTGCTTTTATGGGATGATAAAAAGTAAACAAATGAGAAGGGGGTAAGTCAGGAGGAGCACTGTTGAGATGGGGAAGGGCTGGAGGGAAGGCAGCACAGCGAGGAACAACAGCTGAGCTGTGGGGTGGGAAAGCTCTGAAGGGATGCTGGGCTGCATTTGCAAAGATCAGAGGAAACTGTGTATTATTATTTGAGATGTGACAAGATTAGAGCTTAGTTAAATTTATATTTATGTCAGTGCATAAAAATCAGGTGCAATAAAGATGCAATTGCAGAAGGAGCCTGGAAGATACAGCATGGTGATGATGATACCATGGGGTTTGGACCTGTGTTGTCTCCAAGTGACAGGCACAGCAGTGGGGCTGTCACTGGGTAGGGGTCAGCTGGGGGGGGTGATGTAGGATCCTAATTGTAGCCAACAGCTACAGGTATCCAAAACAGCAGCAAAGGTGAAAGGCAGTGCTGTTCTGACAGGAGGAGACTTTCCCACAGAGATGGGGTTAGCAGTTAAATTCCCTCCAGTGAAGGTACTTACAGAAAGAGCTGTGAATATAACCTTGGACTCCCCTCCTCCCTGGAAATTTAGGGAATAGTGCTAGGGAAAATCTTCCAAATGGCGTGCAAAAGGAGTAGGGCAACTGCAGACAGTGATGAAAACACACCAAAAAAAGGACAAATACCCGAAGAACAGGGAAGTGCTCAGAACAATTAGACTCTTTGATTAAAGCAAAGAGGCCCAGAAAGGCCCAGTAAGGCCCAGAAAAATACCCAAATCCTTCTGTGGGTTATTTATAACAGTCATGTGATTGCTTTGAACAAGAATTACTTGTCTTTGATGATGTCAGAGTAATTCTCCTGATATCATCATAAATTACAGAAGGAACAGGTTTCTTTGGTGGTGTTTTGACACTTTCTATTTTGCTTTTATCAAATTCAGGTACTATTTCTATCTGATATTTTGTATAGTATTTTCATCTGCAATTTAGCTCTTTCTTCCTTGTTCTTTGATAATCAGTCTCTTGGGTTAAACATTTTCATATCAGAGGTTTTGGGGAGTGTTGCTCACATAAAAGTTAATTTTCTTTTTTTCTTTTTCAAACGGAAAATTTGTACTTTTCATTAAAAATTACGTGTTCCCTTCAAGTTTGGGACACTTTTAAGATACATAAAAATTCTGATTAATTTAGAAATCCAGGAAGTGATTGTGCTATATTTTTACGTGTCGTTAAGTTGGCTGAAGATGTCTTGGGTTGTTTCATCCTAAAGGCTTCTCCTGCCTTGGGGGAGGACTTAGACTTCTCACATCAACACAGAAGTTGGGGTACCAACTCATCATACCATTATAACTTCTCCCTTTCCCTCATCTGATCCATATCAGTAGAAAAACTGGTGCTACTGTGAACTTATTGGTAATTTTTCATCTGGAATACTTCTGGAGGAAAAGTTGCAATGTTGGTGGAGGTCACTGTAAGGGAAGAGTTGCCTCATACAAAACTTGCAGTCAGCATGCCATGCAGAGATACAGTTTGGGGGTAAACAGTGCTTTTAAGTTGTTTTTAAGAGCTAGAGCCTTACAAAAACCAAACCCACTTTCTTATAGAGGTGCAGTATACTGTGGAATACTGCAGTAAACTGTAACTAAAGATTAGTGGCTAAAGGATTATTTCTTTGGCAGAATGATCGGTGAATTCTCCTTCTGCTGACTGAAGCCAAATTCAGTGAAGTACTTGCTTGAAATCTGCTCTTTCAGCATGTGAAGGCTGGTTGTCTTGACTCCTTTAAGCAATGCAGAAGGAACACTGGAAGTGTTTAGGCAGACAGTGATACACAACAGAGAGATGTTCTGCAACAGACACTTTGACATTGCACCTTTCTGCTCCTGTTCACATCCCTCAGCTTTCAGACATGATAGACTGGGAAGCTGTGGAAAATTGTGCACAGCTGCACTAGCAACAGTTCTCACTTTCATGTTTTTATAAAAGCCAAACTGCCCTTTATGGGCTATTAATTTGCGAATTCATTTATCTCAGGGCAAGACTTTATTTACACAGCCTGACATAAAGACAGAAAATTGTAGCCTGGGATTTAAAAATGTCACTGCACATGATGCCAGGATAAACAGCACAGAAATTTATTTCAGTTGCATCTACCCTGTCGCTTCCCAAACTGTTTTTCTACATTGCCTCTCAGCACTGTATTATTTCCCCATTCACCTACAACAAACCTCCATCTAAGCTAAAATAATGCATGTCATCAAATAGAAATGTTCTTCATAATAATTGGAATAATTAACTGTTACAGCCAGCTCTGTGCCTGGTAGAGATTAAAGGGATATTTTTTATGCTGTGACAGTGACCACTGTAGTTTTCTAGTGGCTTCCTCCTTTACCACTTTGATTACCTTCTCTATCTATTACAAATTCAGAGGGAGGTACCCTCAGGAGGGCTCTTGTGGCTGTGCAACAGGGTTAGTGGCAGTCCAGCCCTTCCTCTCCACCACTACACCAAGGGGTGCTGAGACATCACTCCACCTTTTCCCACCTTTCTCTCCCTGGGTTTCTCTTCTTTTGAAGTTTTTTTGACCTTCTACCAAGAAGAGGTCAAGCCAAGATACAGTTGTTCCAAAACAATCTTTACTTAGTATGATTTCCTGGGCTCTTGGGCAGAGACCTTGTTTTCCGTTTCAAGCAATCTGTTTTCTGCAATAAAACACTGAATATGTTTCTCTGTTGCTATAGAAATAATATTGCATTAAATGAGAGAATCAGTGCCCTGCTGTCGAGAAATCTAATCTAAGTGTTAGTCTCTAGAGCTTGAATTTCACCGCTGGGAAGAGGTATACATAATTCTGCAAATTATTTCTGTAACTTATGCATAAATGTCTTTATACTCTGCAACTGTTAGCTAAATTTCCCAAAGTGATAGCAGGGAGTTTAACATGGTGTAATGTGTTTACATAGATCTACAGAGCCTCCCCCCCTCGCGTTTCCCCACCCTTCTTCCCCAAACATTTCCACATTTAGAGCTCGAAATTTCCAACTCTTTGCATAGGAAAGTGGCAGGAAAAGCAGCAGTCTCAGCCAGGTTCCCTACCCCAGGGACAGCAGCGTGCCAGGTCTGTTGGAATTTCTGGTGGTTATTTTGTAAAGTGCAGCTTCTCCAGGTAACATGAGGTGTCATTTGCCCTGCTTTTTCTGGGATTAATTTAGGATTAACCTAAACTGACCACAGTCCTGCTACATTAATATGTCCCAAAAAGTGATCTACTTTCCCAGACCATTTTTCTAGGAAGTCCACTGCTTTCTAGACTCTCCAGGTATCATATGCCTGTATTTCTCAACTTACTCAAAGACTTCCCTACAATAACTTTCTACCCCATGCAGCAGTTAAACACAAGAGAGTTGTGGATTTTGACTTTATGGACCTCATATCCAATCTCACATCTGTCTTCACATGTAGCCATAATTTAGCTTTAATGTGTTTTTTTCCCAGTGTTTTTCTAAAGCTGTAGAATTCTAGTACCAGCAATCAGATGATACTTTAACCTGTATCTGTAGAATATGTGGAAGAATCAAAATATTTGTTGGTAATAGTTACTAAGGCTCAGTGTTTGTCAACATAAGTATTTTGAAGAAATGGTGAAAAAAAGCTTTTATCTCACAGTACAGGAACCCCTTTATACATTTCTGTGTATAATATATATGTGTAGTCACAGGAATAGAACAGAATTTAAAAGTACCTGATGATTGATTTGCAGAGACCTGTGTGCAAGTGTGTGTTAGAAACCTGAGTTCAGAGTTTTTGTAAAAATCCTGTTACAGCTTCTTGGTTAAAAAATGCAGTTTTTATTTGTGAAATGGACCTGTGCTAGATATATGTTATGTATTGCAGGACAAAATATAATTTATATGTGTTTGTTTAATTCACAAATAATAAATGTATCCATGGCATCTAATTAAAGATTAGTCTTTAGAAAACCTAACAAAACATCTATTGTCATTAGAATAAAATAGCTGGGTTTTTTTCAAAAAATCCTTTTTAAATTTTTTTCAGTGATTGTAAATTAATCTGGCAATAAGATAAATTTTCCTAGACAGGGACAAATTTCTGACAACCAGAAGAGTAACTGTATGGTTTGCATATTAATCTAAAGGCAGAGATGCAGGAAAAACTAGCAAAGTACACAATTGCCTTTCTTTGAAATTAATGGCATGCTTATTATTAAAAGAGACTCATCATATGAATAAGTCACCACAAGACACTAATTATATTTTTGCTGTTAAAGTAGTTTTTGTAAGGAGAAAAAAAAAAGGAAAAAAATAACAAACCCAACAACCTTTTATTCCTTTGCACAGCCATAAATATAAACCAAAAGTTGACCTGGTTTTTACCCTTGTGCTGTTACACTATCCAAAATTGCTGTATTTTTTCAGCACGTCATCAGTATAGAGATGAAAAAAATCATCTTGATGAAGCTCTTGGTGTAAAACCGTGACTGTGGCATCACCCGCTGCTGTGCCGGGTGTTGGTTCCTGGCCAGGGCCTGCCTTCAGGCAAGCTGCTGGAAATGGTTGAGGACTTGATCAGGGGGGAAAGGGCTGAGTGGATACAAACATTAAAGTGAAAATGCATTCATGATCACATCTAATAGAGGATATTTTCTTACTATGCATAGTTCCATAAACAAAAGCCAGCAGTGAGGGTGGGAAAAGATAACAGGAATACTCAAATGTTTTGTGGTTGTTTTTTTTCTTTAGGAACCCTATGGAGAAAAAACCAAGTGCAAGATTTAAAGAATGTTCTGAAGAACACTGACCAGGACATACCACTGGTGTTTGTCAGTGGGAATCACGATGTTGGGAATTCTCCAACAAGAGAAACAATAGATGATTACTGCAAGAACTGGGGAGATGACTACTTCAGCTTTTGGGTTGGAGGTGTTTTCTTTCTTGTGCTGAATTCTCAGTTATTCTTTGATTCTTCCCAATGCCCTGAGTTGAAGCAAGCCCAGGATGTGTGGCTGGATGAGCAGCTGGCTGTTGCTGAAAAGCAGAAATGCAAGCACATAATTGTATTTCAGCACATCCCTCTGTTTCTGAGTACACCCGATGAAGACCACGGTTATTTCAACTTGGAGAAATCAGTTCGTGAAGAAATAATGGAAAAGTTTCATAAAGCAGGTATTTTCTCAAACTTTCCTATTCTTTAATTTTTGTTTCAAATTGTTAATGGCTCAGCTGCCAGACAAAATGCATTTAACTTAAATGGTCCTGTTTTCAAGGAATGTTAGATACTGCTTGTGAGCCTCATTGTTCCCCACCGATCAAAATTATTGACTGAATCTCGTCACCTGAAAAAAGAACCAAACAAAATTTAAAACTTTGAGTGATAAGTAAAAAGCTAAGCATGAAAAATTCTTTAACAAGGGTTCCATTTTGCAGTTATAAGGCAACCTGAGTTTTTCCTGCCTGCAGAGTGGTAGATCAGGTATTACTGTAGGAGAAAAATACAGAATTTATGTTTTACATAAAACATGGAAACAGAATTCAGAATTACCTTGGAGGTTGCTTTCTCCCACACTGAGCCAATTTTAAACCAAGAGTGCAATGCACTCCAGATATATTCAGTGTTAAAACAAGTCTTGCTCTGCTAAAATCAATCCTTTGCATATCCATTGCTAATAGGGGCCACCTCTGGGATGAAGGGCAGGTGGAACATGTGCTAAACAAGTACATTGTGCCAAATCCCTGAGCTTTGTCTGGTGCCACTTGAATGCCATGGAGACAGACACAGTACCCAGCTACTCCTCCACACTGTTCCCATTGTTTTCACTTAATTGCCTTCATGTTCCTGGAGTGTGCTAGTCCCTCAAAATTTCCTGCCATCGCTGCATCAGTGTCATTTTCTCTGTATCTATAAGAGAGCACATTATTTGGATTACTGAACAATGCACATTTTTTATGATATTGTTCCTAATTTACCATATAATTGTTAAGCATGGACTCATCCAAAGTCAGCCTGATTTCCAAGCTCTGAATCTCCTGCTGTTTCCAATCAGCAGGGCCAAAATTCACAGCTATCTGAGGGCTCTCCAGGGCACTGATATATTTGCAGATTCAAGATTTACAAGTGGTTTTTTTCCCCATGAGGAGACATGCTGAGAATACCTCATAATATCTTTTTTAATTTTTGTGCCAGTGTTAATACAGTGGAAGTATTGCTGTTGGAAGGTCGGGCAGTTCTGTGACTGCCTGTGTACTGTGGACTAAATCAAATCCTAGTTCAGGGGGCGTGTCCCAGGAAATCAGCATTAATGTGGAAACCAAGGCAGTTCTGTTCTACAGCTTTCTGTCATCCAGATGTTTTTCTAACATTTGGCAACACTCAGTACTGGGAATATAATTGATCAAGAGGTAAAAGAAGTTGTGCAAAACTGTCATTGTAACGTTGTTGTTACATTATCATGTTTCCCAGAAGGGTCTTTCAGACTGATTCTCCAAACCTGTGTACAGAGGCTTAACCAAAAGTTGGCTAGGCCTCAAATGATGGGGGAAAGCCAAAAGGAGAAGCCAGCAACTCTATGGAAGAAATTCCCAAACTCCTTTCTGTGCCACCTTTCTGCTCCTCCTGTCATTTCCCATTGTGATCCAGCTCGTTGTTTGGTTCCCTAATGAATGTGTTTAAACACTTCTGCTTGCTCTTTTGTCCAGTGAGTCAATAGGTGATATTCACAATCCAATAATCAAACAGTTTGCTAATGAAATGAATACAGAGAACAGGCAGCTCAGTGGGACTCAGACTGCTGAGAAAAATGAGCTGAATCAAAAGTTGGCTCAGAGTTTCCTTAGTAACAGGTGGGCTTTCATTATTCAGTTGAAGAACGGCCTTTGTGAGACCACAGAGTGGTATCAGTGGATTGCCCAGAGGAGTTGGCATGGTGGGACAGATGCACAGATGTGCAAGGACACACCTGCTCTCTGAACCTCTGCCACAGAACAATCCATTTCAGCATATCATTGGCCATAAAATTGGTTTTCCCACAGTTCACTTCATATGTTCTTGGAGGATTAAAACACAGAATATTGCTAATGAAATCCCAGGCTACTTTGCTTGGTTTTGTTGTTTTAATTATGATTTTCAGTGTAAGAAGGTTAACCCCTTATAGCAGTTAATTTAGAAATTTGGTAAACTGTTTATTCTGGAAAAACAAAGTCAATCTGCCTTTTTATGAGTCCACCAGACTGCCACTATTCGTCTTCCCCCAACCTGTCACCAGTCCTTTCTTCCTTCTGCTTTGTTGCTGTTGCTGTTTCAGTATTTCTAAGGACTCCAAAGGTTTGTTATGTAATTACATAAAATTTCAGTTTTAGGGGTTGCTGTGTTTGGCAATGCAAGTTATTAGATGGGCATCATGTTTCAGTGTTGATAACCCAGGATCAGACCTGAAACTATCCCAGTTTTCACATTTGTACTTTTTCTGGAAGTGTCAAACACAGAGCCATCACTCACTGGGTTAGAGAGAGACAGGAAAGGAAGGACAGTGTAGAAATTCAGGTCTTTGTGTGAACAAAGAAATTTATATGAATATGTGTAGGAAATAATCACATACTTACAGAATGGTGATATTGCACAGGTGCTTTAAAGTGAGTATGCAACTTCAGGAAATTCTGATATGAAATTCAAAGCCCATGTCATCTGTAGTTATTCTCATCTAATCTCTTACAGATTACATAATGGTTTTGGTTTAAGTATCTGCTCATTACAAGCAGAGATAAAAGACTAGCTGTAGAGGCTACATCTGGTACGAAATACTGAATTACATTTCTCACATTAGAAGTGTCCTTAACAGTTGGGCTAATTAAAGATAAAATCATGTCCTTATGATAAATATTTATAAATTGAAAATCTGGCACTTGTAAATATGCATTACTACTATGCAAAGTTAAGCCATACTTGTAAGCTGCATGTCTAAGAAATCCTAGTAGCCCAATTTTTCTTTAAATGCATTGTACCGGGGACTGACCTTGAAAATGTCTTTTCGGTCACTGTGAAAACCAACTCAGTTGAGGGCAGAGTTTATCATTTAAGTGAAGATACGTTTGTGAAAGTCTATTTGTATAACTTCTGCAAGTTTAGCCTGAGTTGTCAAAGCTCTTTCTTCTCCACATGGAGAAGGTAAGTGCAGAAAAAACCTGTGTGCAGGAACTGTGAAAGAGCTGACCTGACGTTCTCAGCTGTAAGATCTGCTGGAGTCACTCGCCTGCTGCATGAAATGCATATTCAGCTCTCAAGGACTTTACAGTGCTGATAGAAATAGGTTTCCTCAGAGCATTGTAGGGAAAATAAAGAAGTGGTAGTAGTCTAGCCACATATCTGGTGGTCTGCATGTCCTGTGTCTTTGATAAACATTTTAGCTTTCAAATTAAGCAGTTTATGTAATAGAAGACCTGCTTGTTCTTACATATCTCATTCCAGTAAAATCTTCTTAGGATGTTAAAGATTTTTTTTCTATGACCTGAAAAGGATGGGTATTTTTGGTGAGCTGTAGACAATCTTTTAAAGACTTTTTGTCCTGAGAACCATCACTGACATGCTGAACATTACTTACATTACTTAATACAATATAGTAATAGATGTTCTTAATGGCCCAAATGAACTAGAACATTTAAGCAAATGTCTGAACTTGTTTAAGAGCTCTGTTGAATAAAACCTAAATTAATAGCTGGTTTTTCACCAACAAAGTTGAAAAAAGACTTTTTGTTTCAAAGTTAGATGAAGAGTATAGGTGGTCTGTCTAGCTGAGAGATTTTGCATCCAGAATAGAATCACTAGACAATAGGTAGAAAATGCAGAAGGAAATTCCCTGCAGTCTTCAACTTCTCTTAATTAAAAGTTTTATATTCATCCAAATGTCTTCAAAGCAATTTTTCAGATGTGGTTAAAAATACTTAATATGTCCATAGGGGCAAAAATAACAACCTAACTTTATTAAATGGCATGGTTTTTTATTATATTTGTCACTGTAGGTGCTGTAACTTCTAACACCTTTACTCATTAAAAGAGTGTGATATCTACATTCTCCTCTTAGAAATGTTGTGACAGGAGAGCAGTGTTAAAGGAAGAAGAACATCCACAGCTGAGATATATTTGAGCACAAAGTTAAAGCATGAAGTGCTGAAAGCTGTTGTTTCTAAAATTTACCAGACAACATATGCTATGTTTCATTATTTTCTTTGTTGTGTAATCAAAGTTGACAGGGGAGTAATATTTTCTTCTTCCTGCCATTGAGACCTTGATTTTGGCAAAGCCCATGCACTGAGTGAGTAATCTCAGTGCTTATGTGTCAGTGTTTAAGATAATTTAAAGACTCTCAACTTCAGTAATTTAGATCAACCTCTTTCAGTGTTGCAATTATGCTCTTTTGGTATAGGTTGAGTGACCAAATTCGTTATTTTCTATATCACTGTGTGAGAACAGCAGGTTTTAGGACCATTCCTCAGGTATGGTGATGTAATCTAGATACATGTAGGCATAGTTGGGGTTTTTTCAGAAATTCAGCAGTAAGTACAAAATGCATATCCTCTGTAAGGACATTAGATAATATTTTTCTGGGATAAATGTTTGAAATCGGTTTTATCCACTGGTCTAAAACTTCTTTTTGATCCTTAGAGCACACAGCAATCCAGAGCATTCTTTAGGGTTTGTGTCAGGTCACTGAGAAAGCTTCACTTTCAAATGGAAAAAGTAGCAAAACCAGGAAGTAAATTCCCCTGAAAGGTCACCAGAGGCATCCACAAAACCTGACTTGAAAGACAGGGTGACCTTCTCCAGACAGCACCTCAAAAGGGTGATTTAGACCAGTGCTCTAATTAGGTGATGTGGAATCACCCTCTGGCTGTGCCTGTTGTTTTTCCTCTGATTATACAGGAAAAACAAGTGACACTAAAATCCTTTTCTGTATAGCTCTGTTTAGTATTGTCCTATCTAAAGATACTTTTGACATAGATATACTTTGTAAAATCATATCTTGTCTCCCACTTACACAGACCCACTGACCACCAACTGCATCAAACTCCTGATGCAACACTGACCAGTGGGACTATTTCCTACTACTGGAGCTCCACTGGTGGGAAACTGCCAGGGGTTTTTTTTGGATAACAGGTCTGAGAAGTGCCTGAGC